TCAGTAAACCATTATTATCTAAAAAAAACAAAACAAAACAAAAAAAACAAAAAAAACAAAAAAACACAAAACTTAAATGCACTGTAAAAGGTTGATAAGCCGTAATAAACGATTCAATCAACAATTGGGTAAGGTATGAATCCATCTCTTCTCCCCCAGCTATGGGTTAATTAGTAAGGTTTTTATCAGTAAATCATTATTATCTAAAAAAAAAAAAAACAAAAACAAAAAATAAAAAACAAACTTAAATGAACTGCAAAGGATTGATAAGTCGTAGAAAACGATTCAATCAACAATTGGGAAAGGGATGAATCCACCTATTCTCCATCAAGCTCTGAATTAATTAGTAAGATTTGTATCACTAAATCATTGATAAAAAAATTCTTACAAGCTAATTTTTTCTGGCTTTATATAACATGCAAAGGGTTGATAAGCCGTAAAAACGAATTAATCAATCAGCTGTAAATGATTTAACTTTGTTTTTCCTAACTTTGTTCTATTATTTTTACTGTTTCCAAAATTAGAAAGAAAGATTGTAATAAATCTGATATCACGTCTTTTTGATTTACATTCTCGGGAATATAAATGTATTGAACATGGCCACTAAGTGAGAGATCAGTTTATACATCGATTATAATATAGAATTGACCCCCAACTTTATACCCACATATACTTTCTTGTCTGTTTCTCAAATTCTGATTTGGCAGGAACCCAACTCTTCTCCCCCACCTATGGGTTAATTAATAAAACTTGTATCACTAAACCTTTATTATTTAAAAAAAAATATTACAATCTAAAAGTTTTTTCTGGCTTTAAATAACCCGCAAAGTGTTGATAAACCGTAAAAACCAATCAATTTATATAATCGAAAGTTAGATATTAATGTGATTTTTAATTAATTTTAGTGGCTCTGTTGTAATTTCTTGATACAAATCATTTACCAAAATATTTCTATTTGGAATCCCTCCTTGGTCGAAGTGTGAAATTTTCAGCCTTCACTCTTCAACACTTGGTCCGTGCGTGTTGTGGGGATTTCGCATATTGACGACCTGGGGGTCTCGCTTCTCCTCCTACCGAAAGAGGACTTGTCACGGGAAGTTCTAGCTCAATTCACGCTGTTTTGAATATTATATTCATGCGACATCGAAATCCAAACACGCATTCGAATAGCAAAAGATGTTTCCCAAAAGCTAAGCAAAGTAATAAGAAATCTGAAAATTTCATTAGAAACAAAGAAAAGACTGCCAAACTGTAATGTAATATCAGTCCTCCTCTATGGCAGTTAATGCTGGACAATTTTCTCACAGATGAAGAGAAAACTGGAGGCAACTGAAATGTGGTTCTACAGAAGGATGCTGAGAATATTAAGCGGGTAAGGAACGAAAACGGAAACAAAAAGGACACTTATACACAGAATCAGAAAGTTATAGCTGAAAAATATCTCGGAAATATAATGTAGAAGGACAGCTTGGAGAATTTGACACTTATAGGATATATATAATATTGTATGCAAAAGGGAAAGCTGAAGATAGCTGGTCGTCTACCTGACGGGATTGTGCGAATGGATTACGGAACGAGGTTGCTTGAGAGACTTGGCAAAGGGGAAACATAATCGATTACATTCTGAAGGAGCACGGCAAATAGACGAAGAATATACATTTGCAACCATATCAAATATAAGTATGTGCGGTTCTGCGTGCTCTGAGAAACGCGGCTGTTTAAATCGCAGTTCTGGAAACGCAGGCATGAAAACATGTATCTTTCATGCCATCTAACCTATAACCATTTTATGCCCTGTGTCCCTTCAGGGCAAGTGCAGTCAAGGCTATCCACACCTTCCTTTCCTTTGTAGCTTTAAGCAACCTGTGTCTCTTTGATATCCCTCCTTTTCCCACTCTCTGCCATCCATTCATGCAAACTTGTTAGGGAGATTACATTCTGTTTGCTCATGTTCCTACTGCTTTCATTGTGCCTTGTGAGTGTTAGATTCTCCAAACCTTCTGTCTTCATTACATATAAGAATGTTCATCTCTCTTTCTTTTATTTAGGCATAAGTGTGCTTTTAGTTCTAATTTTCTTTAAAACTTCATCGTAGTTCATATGCTCCCTCGATGCTATTTTCTGTACAACAATATCTCTTTCATTTTAAGTTTCTTCAAAAGGTTCTGTCCCATATTCGGACTTTAGCTTCTATACTTACCAGTAAAATGTTGGTACCTGTTTCATCCTAATGTCTCCAATTTGTAGTTCGAAACTTTGGGGTTTCTCTCTTGCAGACGATAACAGCTTCGGCTTTCTTACAGTATAGTAGCTTTTCTGAATTGGGAACTGATAACGGCAGGTAATAGTGATTTTCCAAGCGTGGCTTAGATGTGGCACAAGGCCGAAAGTAGGGGGCACCATTACACCGCCTCGAGTTGCCCCAACAACAGGCAATAAGGATGGTACATATTCAAATTGATCTACTGACAAGATGCCATTTGTAGAAATGATGTTAAAACACACAAGTTTAACAGATGTTGACGTAGAGTTTCAAAGTCAAAACTCTACTTATTAATAATCCAATTTCAAGTACGCTGGTATTAACCCCTCCTCCACCCAAATCCGTATCAATACACGTTTATTCTTTCAGACTTACCGTTATTGTAGAATGAAGATAAGAAATTGTCTAAAGAACATTTTTCCCACAAACGAGAAGTACGAGAGAAGAAGCTGTTAGCATTGAACTTACGGTTACGTCTAGCCATGTCAATCGCAAAATAATGAGAACTTGCCATTAATCTAGTAATGTACTTAAATTCATAACGTCAAGTTAGCAAAGAGGAAAGCTCATCAGCACAATTACCATGAAAATATTTATAGAAAAAGCACAGGGAAGCTACATTACGGATGTAGGAAATTAACTGAAGCCGAGATGCCAGGTCGGGATCAATAATATTGCTGATTTTCCTTTGGATTTATCAAGAATCTCTAAATATACAGCAGGAGCACCGGACCATATGTAGCAGCAATATTTAAAGAATGGACAAATGGTAGACTTATAGATATGTACGGTAGATTCTGCGGCGAATAATTGTCTAGCACGACACAGTGAAAATGAAAATAATTTATATTTAAAGGTTTAAAATTCTAACCTTCCAACATTTTCAGTGTTTCGTATCTAGGCATAGATGCAATTTTGTGTTTTTATAGCACCCCTTATCCGCATATATAATTACATAAAAAAAAAACTTTACTTTCGTCCGATGAAGTCCTTAAGGTCTTCGGTGATCGTACGAGAACCATTGTTTCAATGTGATATGGTCGTAAGCATATAGAAAATCATTGGCATCCGTAAAATAAATGAGTTAAACATTGGAATCCTGCTGTTGTCATATTCCAGGCTAGTATATTATGCAGTCACGCAAGCACAAAAAAAAACACACATGCTCTTACTCGCTTCGTGATATAGATGCATATATAATTATCTATTGCCAAGGGCCATTCGTAAATCATTTTGACTATTATTTATCGTTCATTTTCTTCCATACTTTTATTTTTAAACTTATTTTTCTGTCACATAAAAATATTTCTCATTTCCGCTCTAATATTTTTCGTTTTCTTTTTATTTGAAAATGCGTTCCTTTTAATTTTTTTTTTTTTATATTTCATTCTTTTTTTCATTTAAAAAATGTTTCCATTTATTTCAGTATTTCCATTTTACACCTTTGCTAATATTCCTGATTTATTCTTTGGATAGCTTGTTATTTTATTCTTCCTTTCTTTCTGTATCTAAATATGTTTTTCTTTCTTTTTCCTTTCTTTCTTTTTATTTTCCTTTATTCATCTTAAAAGGCATTTTGTTATTTATTTCTATCTTTCCTTTTGGCTTTTTCGCACCCCTCTCTCTCTCTCTTTCTCTCTCTCTTTCTCTCATTTTTTCGTTCCCTTTCGTTCTTTCATTTGGCTTGTTGCTTCTTCCTGTTTCTCCTGCCTTCATATTTTGTAAAGTTTCTTTCTTTATTTTGACTTGTTACTTCTTTCTCTTTCTCTCATATTTTGTAATCTTTCTTTCTTTTCTTTGTTCTATCAATCTATCTTTCATTCGTTCTTTCTTTCTTTATTTTGGTTTGTTGTTTTTTTCTGTTTCTTTTCTCTGGTGCTTTGTTACCTTTCTTTTTCTTTCTTTCTTTCTTTCTTTCTTTTGACTTATTAATTCTTTCTCTTTTTCTCATATTTTGTAATCTTTCTTTTTTCTATCAATCTTTATTTTGGTTTGTTACTTTATTCTGTTTCTTTTCTCTCGTGCTTTGTTACTTTTCTTTCTTTCTTTCTTTTTGTTTCTTTCTGTTTCTTTTTTTCATGCTTTGTTGCCTTTCTTTCTTTCTTTCTTTTTTTCTTTCTTTTTTTCTTACTTTCTTTCCGTTTGTTCTTTCTTTCTGTTTCTTTTTTCATGCTTTGTTTCTTTCTTACTTTCTTTCCGTTTGTTCTTTCTTTCTGTTTCTTTTTTTCATGCTTTGTTGCCGTACTTTCTGTGTTTACATTTTTCTTTCAAAACATCTTCATTCTTTTCTTTTTTTCCTTTTTAGATATTTTTCTCTATTTTTTCTTAAAATTTCTTGAATCTTTCTTTATTTTTTCTTCTTCTCTCCCTTTCACTTTTCTTTTTCTTTTTGGCTCTTTGTCCCTGTTCAAATATTTACCATTCTCTCTTGGTTATTTTATAACTTTCTTCTTTCTTTCTTTAAACTTCTTTTACCGTCTCTTTTCCATTTTCTTTTCGTTTCTTCTTATAATATTAGTTTTCTTTATTTCTTTTTTTGCATTCTTTATTTTCAAATTTCTACAGGGTGCGGCGGAAATACATCCTACATATACCTTCACGAAATAACTCCCTCATAATGGTAAGACATTAGTTCAAATGGTGTCTTCATCTAGCTAATGTCTTACCATTATGTGGGAGGTATTTCTTGGCGGTATATGTGAGAGGAATTTTGTCGTATCCTGTATATAATATCAAGTTTTATTCGTTAGCTATTTCTTTATTTGAAATTTCTTTCTTTCTTTTTTCTTTCTTTCTTTCTTTCTTTCTTTCTTTCTTTCTTTCTTTCTTTCTTTCTTTCTTTCTTTCTAGTCCATCTCTCACTGTAGCAATTTCCCTTCCTGTAACTTATCGTTATCTTTCCGAACAGGGATTAACCTCAATAATTTTTTTTATCACGCAAGCGGCATCGCCATTTTGTAGATCCTCCGCATCTTTCTTTCTTTCTTTCTTTCTTTCTTTCTTTCTTTCTTATTCCGTTTTTCCTGTTATTTTCTTTCTTAACATGTGTTTTTTCTTTCTTTCTTATAACTTTTTTGTTATTTTCTTTCTTGCTATATTTTTCTTTCTTTCTTTTTTCTTTCTTTCTTATTACGTTTTTCTTGTTATTTTCATTCTTACCATATTTGTCTTTTTTCTTTCTTTCTTTCTTTCTTTCTTTCTTATAACTTTTTTTTGTTATTTTCTTTCTTGCTATATTTTTCTTTTTTCTTTCTTTCTTTCTTTCTTTCTTATTACGTTTTTCTTGTTATTTTCATTCTTACCATATTTGTCTTTTTTCTTTCTTTCTTATAACGTTTTTTGTTATTTTCTTTCTTGCTATATTTTTCTTTTTTCTTTCTTTCTTTCTTTCTTTCTTTCTTTCTTTCTTATTACGTTTTTCCTGTTATTTTTTTTTCTTAACATATTTTTCTTTCTTTCTTATAACGTTTTTTTGTTATTTTCCTTCTTGTTATATTTTTCTTTCTTTCTTTCTTTTTTTCTTTCGTTCTAAGAAAACATATCCCTCAAAAAGTGTCTCGCCAAAACGTTGTACGCACTGAATATAGCTTTTAGCTTGATACGGAATATTATCAGAACTGAGAGGGCAACGGCCGAAACACACGAAGTTTTGACAAATAAAGTTTTCATTCAATGACATATTTTGATTATTTCAATCCGTACAGATTTATTATATTTGCAGTAGTTTTGTAGTTTTATTCCCTAGTATTTTTCTGCTGGAAGTTTTATCCCCCATCTAGCTATTTTCTGATATCATAGTAGCATAACCTTGTAAGCTATCGAAGACAAGTTTGCATTAATTCTCTTTTATGTTTGTTTGTTTCTTAGTAATGTTCTATAAGATCGGGTTATCTTCTGATTTGTATGTCGGATCAACATACATGTTATTTTTAATCCGATGCCTCTACTCTGATAAAAGGTCAAGGGTTAAAAACACTAGGATTTGGTTTGGTTTATTTTGTTTTACGGCATATCAACCTCAATGGGATATTTAATGCCGACATTTTTAGGATAGATTCGTATGAATAGAATATGTATTCTTTAGTTTAGATTGGTTTGGTTTATTTTGTTTTACGGCATACCAACCTCAATGGGTTATTTAATGCCGGCAAAATTTGTTATTGCTGGTAATATTTTGTTTTGTCAAAAATCTATTTTTGGTAATATTTTTCCTTCAAAATTGTATTGATGGTAATAATTTTTTTTTCAAAAAAGTATTGCTGGTAATAGTTAACTATTTGCCCATAGCTGGGACCCTAACAAGTGCTACCACCCCGGGTCAGAGTGGACCTGGGAACACCAGCGAGAGTTGGTTCCACGCCCCTCAAAACCTCCTTGATGCTGGGCGTAGTTTATCATCTTACCCAGGACGCGGATGTAGTTTAACGTCTTACCCAGGACGACAAGAACACTAGGAAGAAAAGATATTAATATTTTATAACAGAAAAGAAATCTGAAGTTTAATCATTTTTTCAGACATTAGAAAGGGGATTGAATCGAAAACTTTTCAACACCTCTTAATATACATAAATCGTACATACGACCTATCGCTAGAGATTCAGGTAAAATGGTTGGCCTCCTGTACCGTTCCAGTAAGTAGCTGACTCCTCCTGTTATCCTCTATCATTACAAGAGCTAGATCAGGCCGGAGTACTGCTGCCATATATGGACGGGAACTGCCGAGTCTCCACCTTCCAGTCTCGATAGAGTCAAAGGCGTCTCTGTGGGTGAAAAGTTATTTTCTACCCTTCAACTCCTTTCTCGCAGACGAAACGTCGCAAGCCTGTCACTTCTCTATAGTTATTTTCATGGAAAGTGCTCAGATGAACTACATTCTTTAGTTCTAACCATCATTGCTAAGACCCGCCATGCTAAGCATATTGCAGCAAGCCACCCTCATTCCGTTTGTATTCCATTAGTAAGATGTAAGTTCTACTTGAGTAGTTTCTTCCCACGAACCGTGTTTGGTGGGACCGACTCCCAAGAGGATGCTTTCTGGATCACTACAATGGTCAGCACCTTGTACCGTCCCAGTAATTATCTGACGCCTCATGCTATCTTTTACAAGACCCAGATCAGGTCAAAAATTCAGTACTGTTGTCATATTTAAGCGGGATCTGCCTAGATCTCATTCTCCAGCCTTGATAGAGTCCAAAAGCTTCACCGAGCCTTTGTAGGTGAAGAAATATTCTCCACCTTCTTGCCTCTCATTCATAGGCGGAATGTGGCCAGCCTCTCTATTGCTATTTCCACGGACAGTGCTCGGACGAAGTACATTCCTTAGTTCCACCAAGTCAAACCTTTACGGATAGGACCCGCTATACCGTAGCAAACCATCCACATTCCCTCTGTTTTTTCATTTGTGAGAAGTTTTACTCAATAAGCTTCTTTCTAGCTGTGGAACGGACTCCCAAGAGGATGCTTCCCCAATCATTACAATCTTAATCTGTTTATGTCAACCGTTATCTTTCCCTCCTGTCCATCTAAACTGCCTCTTAACGTAACCCTCTACCTCGGATATCCCTCGGGTCTTATACAGGGTGATCCTTACAGTAAATCAAAAAACATAAAAAAGAACAAAAAAAATCATTAACTTAATTATAATATATTCTTTGGGCAAGTGGTTAGAAGAACAACGAGACACGGATTCGAACCTCACCATGGTCGATTTGTTAAGGAAGTGACTTCTTGTCAACGACATGAGCAGTCGATCCCATCATGCTGCACGTTTGGAAAATACCTATACCAAGCCTCGGCAGTTGTATTATCATGAAGTCATATTTGAAAAATAATTGAAAATCTTAGCACGTGTTGACCCAAGCCTTGTGAGTGATATTGGGTAGACGAAACTGTTCGGCAGTTGTGCTAGCCCGAAGTCACAAGTCATCGTGACCGAGGTACTTGTCTTGTTCACACTCGAGATCATCCTACAGTTTGCGTTAAGCTCCGCTCCCAATAGTTGAAGTATAAATCATAGAGGAACTCCGCTGATTTTGGAGACGCGCAAATGTACCTGAGCAAGCGTCTGCAACAGGAATTGGCTAGCCGATTTATCAGACTGGTCTCCTCCGAAACTAATAGTCGGTCATTATAATATATTCCATAATCTTATTTCCGCAGGTAGGATTGAAACTGCATAGCAGCCGACCTTTCTTATCGATAGTATATCAGTAAATCCATTGACTGTCATCACTGAATATTGACCAGAAATGTCCATTGTATTATATTCAAACTATGTAATTAACAGAAAAAAGTTGGGTTAAATGACTTGACAGGGAAAAAGATTGTTCACAAACAAATATTTGCTCTGTAAAAGAAATTTTTGCGTTTTTATTAGGCTTGATGCATATATCGCGTGTGTTCTGAAATGGCTGTTCGCTCTGATATAAACCTCATCTGTTTGTCTTATGGTAACTTAACGATGGTTGGTTTGGAAAAGAAACAAATAACAACCGGGGAGGGCCGACAAAATAACTCGATTTGAACCAAGAAAATAACGTTGAGTTGTGCATTGCTCAGTGAACTCCATCAAAGTTGGGTAAATCAAATGACACGCCCTGTCGCCAGCGAGAGCTAATCTGAGACTCCTTACCGATAATGGCTTTCTTCTCTCCATTTCTCCTGAAGCTTTCATTTCTATTAATAATTCATGCCTTGTGGTTGTAGAAGGTGGATCGAGTAACAAGTATTCTTGAGATCTCCATTACCTTTCTCAGTATTAAGCATTTTACTATTCCTACAGTCTTACCACGAAGTAAGTTTTTCTTTTTAATTCAAAAGGCGCCAATTATTATAACTACAACGGCTACACAAAGACATTTGATAGGATATAGCGCGACTCTTTGAACTGCGAGGAAAACTTAAATTATACGGAAAAGATATTAGAATAAACCAGAACCTTTATTGGGAGCAAAGAGTCTGGATAAGAATAGAAAATGAGGCAAAGTTTAATCTTCGAACTACCCCACTCACCCGAAAAAAGGTTTCTCAGAAGAACGCTTTTCTTTTGACGCCACTATTACTACCACGATTCTTCGGCCATGTTTATTGCTATATTTGCTATATTTAGAATTTTAATAAACCCAAACATCTGAAAGGGAATTCATACGTCCTCTTTGTTCGGACGAATTAGCAATAAAAATATTGTGCATCATTTATTTATTAGATTGTTTATATACAGAATATTTTTTTATTTACAAGATTATACAAATATTTGAACCCATTGTTTATCATTTGCCATTTTATAATTATGAAAATAATTTTTTTATTCACAAATTTATAAAAATGGCTGTGAACGAGAAAATTTAAATAAAAAAAACGATGCGTAAATGTAATTATATATTTTCTGGGAATTTATTTTATTTTCCCTCTCCATTTTTTATAAATATTTGAAAGGGAGAATAGGGTGTATAAATTTCTATGATAGAGTAAACAACAAATAGGAAACGTTTATACATCTACCATGTTCCGCTTTTATTAAACTTTCATCAGAGATTGACATATGGAAAAAATCCTGGTATTTTTAATTTTGTATTCACGTCTTGTCAAGCTACGTTCGTATACCTAATTTATGTGTGTAAACGAATCATAATTCCAGTTTACCTATGCGGATGATAATATATATATATATATATATATATATATATATATATTGTCATCCACAAACAGACTGTTTCGCTGTATCACAGCTCATCAGTGTGGCTGGACGTCCGGTTGCCTCTAGCTAGGATCGAAACTCAACTGAATTAATTGGCTTCAGTCGGGGATTCTACCACTAAGCCGTTGGCGCACGGCAGAGATGAAGGTGAATTTAAGCGTATTTATTTTTAGATAAACACACAGTGACTGAGAGAACTCGATACGATTTACCGAAGAGTCTTGCATTATTAGCTGTAATATTCACTGTTTACAAAACCACACTTCCTCGCCAGAGAGCTCAACTGAAATAAATATTTCATATATATATATATATATATATAAATATATATATATATATATATGTCTCGCTAGAACTATTACAACTGAGTAGTGAGTTCTAATCCTCACTGGGTGCCCCATGCTTTCGGCCTTGTGCTACAACTAAGCTGTGCTTAGAAAATCATTTAAATAAAAGTTAGATTGTTTAAGAATGAATTTAATAAATGTTGATGATGCAATATAGTGTTTTTGAGGTATGTTTATTGTTGTTAAATTTTTTATCAGGACTCACTCGAAGTATGTTCGATGCAAAGAATTAAATTATTTTTGTTAATTAGGGTGGCATTTGCAAAATCAAAGTTATGTCCAGTTACTGTGTATTACAATTGAGTTTAATTGATTGTCCGAACATAGATCTCGCTTGCGTTCATAGACGGAATCTTTTAGATTACGAGACG